TCATTTGAATGAATACTCTCATAAATACAATGGATTCATATTTGGCTAAAATAGTAGATTTAATTTTTAGACTCTTATACTTTATATCCTTCTTGTATGTGTATACTCATGAGTTACCATGCATTCAAAAGAGGAACTCTGTTTGTGTATGTGTGTGTGTGAGTGAGTGAGTGAGTGAGTGAGTGAGTAAGTGGATAAATGGAAAACAGATTGAAAATGAATTGGTTAACTACCTATTACTTACCAATCTTACTATTATTATTATTACTATAATAATAATGATTATTATTACTGCTGCTCTGAGGTAAACAACGTTCGTTTCACTACTAATACTATTATTACTATTATTATTGTTACTATAATTACCATTGTTTCTTCACTCTTCCCCTTTTTAATGAGTATAAAACACACCCCCTTTCGAGATAAATCTCTCTTAACTACTACTTATATAACTACTACTACTACCACCCCATTTAATCATTGATCGATCAATAATTTTTTTCTCCCAGTTTTTTTGTTGCACTGAATTGAAAAAACAAAAACAAAAAAAAACTTTTATGATTACTCGTTTATTTCAATTATTAATAATAATATTGTACTGTTAATAATAATACCATTACTTCTACTATAATTAATATTATTTGCGTTTCATTGTTGAAAACAATTGGGAAAGCCGGGGGTGGGAGGCGACGATTTTAATAGTATCTAATGAAATGGACAAAAGTTTTCATTTTGAACTTTCAACAGTTAAGCTGCATTCAAATTAAAAAGTAAGGATGAATGAGTTGATATTATGGAGTTGGTATTATTGAACGTATTACTTTTATACCCAGTTGATTGACTACTGAGTAGTGATGAATAGTTAGTTCTGATTGGGTTCTATTGATCAGGTTGGAGGTATTCATCAGTAGGTGAATTAGGATTCCACATGAAACATTAGTCCCCTTAAGACTACTATAAACATGTTATGCTGATGACTGTCTATTCCTAAGAAACCTAGATCTAGGATTTCTTCTTACCGACTATCTCAAGTTACCTAATTTATTGTTTGTATAATTTTGACTAAGTTTGCTAGGGAAAAGCAGAATAAATTCTACTCAGTTGAGATTAACTCCCAATTGACTTGTAGGTGACCTATTCTCGACCGTAGCTGCTACCTTGACGTGGTGGTCGGGCTTAATTATCGTGATGACCCAACCGAGCTATATTGGCCGGAACATATGTTCCTGTAGGTTCTACCATGCCAAGCAGGTCGATTGGAGAACGATAAGACTAAAAGCAACAACTCAAGGTTTGAGGGCGAAGTGGTACAGCTGACTGTAGAGGGATGTGACAGCAGTAAGGTGTTTCCCTCGGACAACCAGCATCTGCAGCGATGCTGCCTTCTCACAAGGAAGGAAGGGTTAGAAAAGGTCGACCCTAAAAATGTCATGCCTCACCTTACCTCACGGATTTCCGTCTTCGGCTGTAAGGCCCTTTGAAGAACGGAGCTAACAAGTCATAAAGGATCCGAGTAGCGTCATTCATTTAACCCCATCATATCAAAATAAAGAACCATCTCGATTCACGCTTCGTTTATCCGGAAGCCGTAATGCTGCTTTCCGTGGACTCTGGCGTAGGTATAGCATTGAGTCCTACGGCAGAACTATCTCTTTTAGACTGTATCCCAGTAGACAGTTTTCTGTTTGCTATCCGGCTAAACGAAACAGTAAGGACTCGGAAAGATAGGGACACTCGTCGTTGCCTCTGCCTACTCTCTCACTGATTGCAGCTCAGATGATGTAAAAGATGAGTTTTACAGAAAGCTTTCTGACCTTCTCTGAAAAGCTAGGCGCTCTGATGTAGTAATGGTGGCTATTAGATAATGGTGACCATCTGTTGCAGCTATGCTCAGATAACTACCTGTTTCTTTCAAATACTAACTTTAAGCACACGGAAAAATATCTTTTGATATGGCGGCCCCCGAATTCGTCCCAACGTTGGACCCGACTAGATCACACCGATGGAGGGGCTCGGCAGAAGACCGTCGCTCATTCTGGAGCACATGTTTAGATTCAAACCATGCTCGAGTGTGAGCGCGTATTTGTCTGTCTTGCCGGATGTAGGAAAGACGTTGCAAGGAAGCCTCTTAGGGTTCTACTTAACGATAGGCAAGCTAAGAATATCTTCAAGGAACAACTAGAAAAACAGTTAGGCAGCCGTGTAAAATGTGCACACCCGCCCAGGAGTTGAAATTTTACCGGGAGACTCACTTGTTGACTTGGAATATGCCGATGACATAGTTCTATTTGGTGAAGACGCTGACAAAATGAAGAGTCTTCTGACCACTATAAGCAACAATGCAGGCTTGTTCAGGATGCGATTCTCCTCAAAATGTTACTTCAGGATTGGGTTGCATCGACACCTGAACTAATGATAGGGAGTGAAGTAGTTGACAGTGTTGACTGCTTATATATCTTGGGAGTCTCATCAGCCCTTGTGGTCTGGTGTGCGACGAAATCTCATCACGGATACAGAAGGCTAATCCGAAATAGGACGAAACGTGTGTCCTGGATCCCACTGCTCGTCAACATCCATCTTTGTTTATAATTCATGTGACATTTGGCAATATCGAGGCGATCCGTGCAGGATGTACATATACCAATAAGAAACTGATCAATCATAAAACTAAGCATAATTGAGAAAATTCAAACAAACAATACAAAATGAATTACTTCTGACCATTAAGTCACTGATTTAAAATTCCTATCAATTATGAACGTTTCAACAATCGTAACTGTGATTTTATATAGTTGAAATCATGAGTTATCACGGTAAAACTGGAAACACTGGACGGCTTTTATCTTCCTATTGTGGGACTTCTCAGCAGTGCACACCCACGATCGCGCCTCACGAGATTCGAACATATAGACCACTGAGCCGGCATCCAGCGGTGTTAATGTCTAACTGCAACCAATCCACGAAATTGAGCAACCATTCATCAATGTCTTCAGTGAGTTTATATCTCCCAACAGACCTGGTAGGTCAAATAGGTCCTGGGTTCTATTTTCGCGAAGCGAGATCGTGAATGCGCCCTGCTGAGGAGTCCCACAATAGGATGAGAGGGCCGTCCAGTGCCTCCAGGTTTTCCATGGTGGTCTAGCTTCATTTGACTCATGATTTCAACTATGAAAATACTGAATTCTCCACAAGACCCCCTCTGATCTATTCGATTCAAGATTAAAATGAATAAACATTTTTCATTCATTTATTGTAATCCTACTACTACTACTAATAGTAGTAGTAGTAGTATTAATGTTTCCTCTGATTAACTGTATTGATTTGTCAATAAAGTTGTTTATGAATAAAGAAAAAAAAACTAATAGCCCTTTGGGTATTTTTCTAAAATTCTTTTAACCATTTGTATATGTGATTAGATCAAGTTATTTCATTTCTATTTATCAATTTTGATATTTGTATAGTCTTAATTCTTCTATTTATGAGTGTAAATAGTCTTATTAGAATGGGGCTATGTGGAGATTATAGTGACTTTCTTAATAGTTGAAGTCATGAGTTGATATAAAGTAGACCACTATTGAAAACCTCGAAGAAATGGACATCCGTTTCGTCTTACTGTGGAACTTCTCAGCAATGAGCACCTACGATCCCACACGTAGGACTCGAACCTAATAACATCTTTGGAACACACCTGTGGGACACAGGAAAAGCGATTCATTCTATTAGGAGCTTTTCAGTTGGATTTACCTTTACTTCAATCTTAATATTCACATAGGGACTCGGACCCAGTTCCTTTTGCTTTAAATGCGAAACACATTAACCACTTAGCTAGTAACCTCGAATAGCTGACTTTAGCAACGAAGGGAGTTGTAATTCATTTGTACTGTTTATTTGAATTGTCTTTTTGGTTTTTTGAACAGAAATTGACCAGTCTTTGTTAGCATATAAATATTTTGTTCGAATCACCCCTATTCTGCCATTAATTCATAAGGATTATAAGCAGAGTTATATAGTGATTCAGGATTCACATATTACAAAAATGACTGATCAATTACAGTTCACAACATTCACAACAACGTCCAAACATTCAATACAAATCAATCTCTTATTAGTTGTATATATGCTTCATGGTATCAAAGTACTTGAAGTGTTTTCAAGATGAATTCCAGATATCTCAACAGTGATCATCCATAACTTCATAGAGAATAGTATTTACAACATTTAAGTTCTTCATTCAATTTGGAACCATTGACAGAGTTCAAAATGACTATCTCTGAATAACATTATGTAATACACTTTTAATCGTTATATAGTAACATCATCTTAATAGTTTCTAATCTATCTTACTGATGAATGGAAATCGAAAAACACAAATCTCATTTAATTTATGTGAGGGCTGTGATACTACCCGAGTGCCCAAACCGAAGCAGGTGGTTTACTTAGGGGGCCACACCCGGAGCCTTTGACCTAAAGATCTGGTTCACAAGGCAATGGAGCAACGTAAGGAGATGTAGTTCCATGGTAACGGGTGACCAAGAATTGACTCATACTCCATTTGTTCCTTCAGGATAGTGGAGCCCATTGGTTTGGAATGAGAGTTTTCCAACTCCTCAAGGTGGACTTTCCATGTTCATCAACCCGGTTAAAGCTCCGGACATTCGCTTTTCGTCCTCTCAATTTAGTAAACAACACCCTTCCCACGAAAAGACAGCGAGTAGAACTTCCTTGTTAGTGGTTGCATACGCGTAGCCATTTGAGAGCATTTCGAGAGGGAGAGCGTATTCTCCTCGCTCTCAGCCATACCAGGGCATTTGGGAGCATATATTGAAGATAACCCTACCTTTTACTGATAAGATAATTAACTTTTGTATTAAAAAAAGAAAAGACCGTTATAAAAAGTATTTTAGATATTCAAAGGCTATTTACATTAGTCTTTAACAATAAGATGATTAGAATGGTATTTAATTAGATCAATATAACAAGACAAGTCATTTCTTTTAGCATTACTCAAATTCAAAAACTGGCCATCGACATATTGGACATTCTAAACACTTGAGGAACAAAAAGAAAGGAAAACATGAAAAATGATAAAGTATAAATCAATAATTCTGAACGTATGGATCATCATGATGTTCAGCTAAAACAAACTATCCAGTTATTTTTTTGAATATCATCTTTTTATATGGCTGACTTTGACTAGACAACCATCGAAATCTTGGGAGTACGTAACAGCTATTCCGTCCAAATGTGAGTCAACGACTTTACCCGGAACATTCGTTATGAAGCTTGAAGCTCCTGGAATCTGTTTTCAGTGAGATCGTGAATGCACATTATCCAGGAATCCTATATTAGGAGGAAAAGCTCGTCTAGTACTTCCTTGTTTTTATTGTTTGTGAAATCAAAAACTGTTAGTAACATGAAAATTCACGCTTAGCAATCTCCACAACACCACATAAGATGGTTACTCACTGGAGACAATGGAAGATGGTCTCTCAATACCATGGATTGATAGAAGTTAAACTTAAACAACACTGAATGCCAGCTCAAAGATCTAAAGGATAAGGGTTCGTATACAAGACCATAGGTTTTTTGCGGGCGATTGCTTACTGCAGGTTTGTGTATGTGTACTACTGAAAAGTCCCATACTAGATGGAAACAACCGTTCAGTGCTTCCGGTTTTTCAATGGTTGTCTAACAATAATGTGTTCATAATTTCAATAAGACTCAACAATCCTATACTTAAATATTAATACTGATGTTATCAAATGTATTGAAAGTTACCTCTAAAATCCAGTCTATAAAACAATGTTCATGAAATGCATGAAAACATGGAAGTCGTATCACTTCATCTCCAATACAATACTTCTCCATGCATATTACACATTGATCTAATAATTTAACATCGAATACATTTAGTAGTACACTGGTTGGTAGAACGTCTAAGAGTTTAAGGGAAACTTCTTCTAAATAATAAAGAAAAGATAGTGAAAAAAAAAACGAGTTAGTAGTAGTCAAATCTTTAATTGGATATAAACTGTTTAGTATTAAAGTGGTGGACAGGAAACCCTAGACCTCAATTTCGTGGTATGAAACATTCATCAACAAGGTGTACTTGTAATCTTGAGGGAACTGGTACTCCCTGGAGGACTTGATCCCGTCACCCAACTTCCCAGCCATTCCTACAGAATGTCAGTTGTGATCTGAATAGACTAATGATTACATCTCTAACTCAACAAAAATTTACTGTCACATAGTGAAACCGAATGAGCTATAGGAAAGTTTTCTCTCAGTGCTGCGTTTATTCGTCCACTAATTCTTTCGGGAATCTTAATACCCTTGAACGGAAGACAGGAAAGAATAGGCTTTTTACAAAATGTCGGCTATTTATGATCGTTAGGGCTCTCCTTGTCATTGTTCACTTGGCTATTCTAAGATCAATACCCTAATAATATCACTGTTAATCACATTCATAAACCTACACTTACTTGCAACACCCTCTGTCAGATTTTCTGAACACTTTCCAAGGAATCAATACTTGAAAAGTAGTAACGTCTTTACAACATCAATCGTTAGGCACCTAATAGATCGTGCACATAAGATCAACAGCAGACATGGATTCAAAATAATTAACAAACAACACCGATTTCACTACTTTTTGTAGAGAAAACTGCTACAAAACACTTCCAATCTGATCGATGTATTGTTTTTGGATTGTCTGATATTTATTGAAACAAAAGCTTAAATCAGTCATCAGCAAAACGTATTATGCAACGAAGGTCATTATCAATGAGAGAACGAGGTCCATGCTTTATTCAAAACCCAAGAGACATGAGAACGATTGTGTCACATCCCACTGTGTTTACCAATTTAAATGTGTGTGGTCACACATACATAGGGAGGAGCAATGGTGATCTGAAAATTAGGGTGTGTGAACATGTAGCAAAATGGTTACGGAAACAAATAGAATCAAATGACCCGATATGAGCAGAGGATAAACATCCATCATCCTCTATTGCCAAATACATAATCGAAACAAACCATAAGATCATAAGCAAAGATGGATAGTGGATAGTAGTGGAATCCAGGACATGCGTTTCGTCCTATCTGGGACTCGTCAGCTGAATGTACCTGCATCGCAGAGTTGATGTTCACTCTAGGATTCGAACCTAGTACCATTCTCTTCAAACGCCAACATGTTATCCACTCAGCCACTGAGTCCTAAGTCCACCATTGCTTATAAAATTTGTGACTTAAGGCAATATCGAAGCTGTCCGTACAAGATGAACATATCACAATTGATTAATCACTGGATGGTGATCAATGTCATGCTTTTCAAATCCTTCTTAGTGCTGATCGACTGTGAAGCTGAGTGACACGGGATTGAGTCCCTCAGGGAGCACCAGTTTCCTCAAGATTACAATTACACCTTGCTGACGAGTGCCAAGTAGAACGAAACCCGGGTTCAGGGTTTCCTGTTGATCACCTCTAACCACCACTTTAAGATGAACATATGTTATTAAGAGACTGATCAATTACAGACGTCAACAACAATAAGAAGATACAAGTACACGACACATCAGTTGTTGTCAATATCAATCAATCAGATTTATAATTACTGCTTAAATATTCATTGGTTGAATATTTTGAAAGGTTGTACAAATTTTTTTGAATGTACGCCATGCACATTAAATAATTGAAACATTCAATATATCCTATGATTGGTAACTGTTTTGTTTTTCCTATCTAAACTAATCACCATGTTTATATTTTTTTTAAAACATGTCTACAATTTTAAACAATAATTGAAATCAATAGTTTGTAATCTATTTCAATGTTAATTCATTAAGTTTCGAATGTTTACATTAAATATAAACTATTCAATTTTATAGTACTACTTATTAATGATAAGTAATATATATTAGAAGGGGTTTTTATGGATATTATAGTAATTTTTTAATAGTTGAGATCATGAATCCATTGAAACTAGATCATCGTAGAAAACCTGGAAGCACTGGATGGCCGTTTCGTCCTATCGTGAGACTCCTCACAATCCCGCTCGCGGGATTCGAACACAGGACCTATTGGTCTCGCGCGCGAGCACTTAACCGATAGACTACTGACCTGGCATCCATCTGTGTTGATGTCTAACTTCAACTAATCCATAGAATTGATCAACTATCCACGATTGTTTTCAGTGAGTTACTATCTCACAACAGACCTAGTTGAATTCCACTGGTCGCTACTTCTCACTAGAATACCTCTTGGAACCTGATAGGTCCTAGGTTCGAATCCCGAGAGGCGTAATCGTTGGTCATTTATGGGTCATTTATGGAAATTTTATAAAATTAGTAAAGAATATAGTTTAATAAGAAAACAATTGACAAAAAATAAACACATGAATTACTGGATAATGACATCTGTAATTCTCTTCCCTACTGTTTAAAGCCTGGAACATCCAAGCCTGACCACCATGATTGCCTTCAAGGGTTCATATTTCTAAAATTAGTCACTTTTCCATATTAAATGATAATCAGTCACGATCATTGAGGATAACTGTTTTGTTCTTAATAAAACTGAATGTTATCGGTCATAGATTTTTATTAGAACTCTAGGTATTCTTTTCATAGTTAGCCACTAGTATTCAGGTAATTGTATGTTAGGACGTATGGCTTGTAGATATTGATTCAATATAAAAATGAATGTCAAGTCAGTGGTCGAAATATAACATACTCTCTTAATATATATGAACTTGAAGATCTATACTCAGTCTCTGACTTGGGTTGTGGATGTTCACTAGTGAGGAATCCCATACTAGATTGAACATTTGTCCGATGTTGTATGGTTTTCTACACTATACTATACTGACGACATTGAGTGACTTATCAACCAATAAAGGAAAGTTACCTAGTTACAATATAATTAGTCATAAAAAGCAAAAACAATTACAATGGAATAACGGCTTTGATATGATATATAATCCATTACATGTTAAATTATTCATTATCGTAGAGGAACAAGGTTAAGGAGGAGTTGGGCTAATGTTGTGAATTGGAGTAATTAACCTATAAAATTCTTGTCTCCAATTAACATTAGCTGTAATATGAAATAGGAGTTGAACTAGAATTATATATTAGAATTACCAATTAGGCTTCAGATATTCAACATAAAATGGCATCAGCTAAAATGAAATGTTGCTTTGCCACCGTTTTATTCAAAAAATTTAAAGTGCTGGCGATTGAGTTTTAGAGGCAGGAGTTCGATTTCGAGACCACTAACAAACCACAAAGACATAATTCACTGTTCCCTTAAATTATGTCAAGTAGCTTAGTGTTATGTCCCGATAAGAATAATGAATGGTAACTTTTGGAATCCGCCTATAGATCAATACTATGCACATATTTTTTATCGTATAATTGTTAGATAGCTAAACTATTCATATTCATGTCCCCCTTATTATAAGCTTTATTTTAACCTATCAACTATTATTATACGATTTACCATTCTTGAATTATGCCCTATCTATCACTTACTATCAGCCACATTTGGCTAACTCTTGTGCACATGTTGTTTAATATTTTGTGGTACGATGTGGTTTATCTGGTTGGTATATAAACCCAGTATGTTTGAAATAAATGATTCATACCGCAGGGGCTGAGATTGGTGTTGTGGACCTAAATGGCTGGGTTAGGCAGAAAGCAGAACCGGCAAATACTGTAGACTGCTCTTACGGGCTTCGTATGTCATCGGTCCGATCGATAATTCACTGCTCTCTAATTGGTGGTATTACCACGTGATAAATTTACCAGGGAATCCAGGCTACAAGTTATAACACTTAGCATACAATCTTCATCAGCAACAAGTATTTATTGTAATCTAGCTTAAGTACCATGTTATATTTACTGTTTGGTAGCTAAATATATTTCTTTAATATCGATTTCAAGCATTTTAGGAACCCGATATTGGTAATTTCACCTAGTTAATCAAGACATACAAGATGTCTAACATTGCAATTTTAATTTCTTACACAAAAATACGAAGCGCTATCATTATTAGAGCAACAAGTTGCTGTAGGAAACAACAAACCAGATTCCAGCGGTTGAAGAAATCAGGAAGAGGCGCTGGAAGTGGATAGGGCACACTTTGAGGAAATCACCCAACTGCGTCACAAGACAAGCCCTCACATGGAATCCTCAAGGCCAAAGGAGAAGACGAAGACAAAAGAACACATTACGCCGAGAAATAGAGACAGACATGAGAAGAATGAATAAAAATTGGATAGAACTAGAAAAGAAGGCTCAGGACAGAGTGGGTTGGAGAAAGCTGGTCGGCGGCCTATGCTCCATTGGGAGTAACAAGCGTAAGTAAGTAAGTAATCATTATTAGAGCACTTTTACCGTCATCGTATTGAGATCAGTCCATAATGCAATTGAGATAAACTCATCAAACTTTGAAACAAGTATGAAATTTTTCTGAATTATCGATTTAATCAAGGTACCTGTAACTATCAAGGTAACTGAAGTGATCAGCTTATTGAAGTGATTGAAATTTTAAAAGGTTTAACATTTAGATCTAACAGATTGAAATCAATGAAAAACGTATATATATACACCAGTTTAGCTCAACAAATATCATTTTTCAATAAGGGTTTGTGGAAATTGTTGAGGCAAAATGATTTAGGTTAGATATTAACACCGTTGAATACTAACTCAATGGCCTAGAGATTAGGCGATTATATGAGAGACAGAGGGTCCTTGGTTTGATTGTCGGATGCGGGTTCCTGAACATGCACCGTTGGGAAGTCTCATAATAGGAGAGAACGGCTACTGTGTGCTTCCAAGTTTTTCATGGTGAACGAAGATTTATCGGTTTATGGTCTCAATTATGTATAATCTTTTTCTCAGTTTTATAGGTACACTCACCTGACGAGTCCCAAAAAGGACGAAACTCATATTCTGGATTCCAC